TTAATATTTAAAACTCTATATATTTAATGTATACATTTGAATGACGTGTACACTGTAATACTAGAATCAAGTCACTATCCATCATCTCCAGAAATCTCTGTATGTTCTTTTGTACATCTTCATTTTAATTTCTGTCCTTCACTTTTGTGATTAAGACCTTAAGTATGTATATGAATGTACCACAGTGAATCTCATCATCGAATATGTCCATAAGAAATTAATTTAAAAAAAAAAACTATGGGTAAGTGGCCAAAAGAACAATAGCAGAAAGGAATCATGGGGTGGGGAGAGGGAAGGACAAGAAGAAGTAGAACAATGTATATTCCATGCCTTTATAATTATGTCAAAATGGATTCTGTTGTCATATATAGCTAAAAAGAACCAACAACAACAAAAAAGAATTTAACATGAGATCTAGCCTCTTAATGTATTCCTGCTTATCTTATTTTTTAAATTTTTAGTTGTGAATGGACATGATGCTTTTCTTTTATTTACTTATATGTGGTGCTGAGGATCAAACCCAGTGCCTCACACGTGCTAGGCAAGCGCTGTACCACTAGCTACAATCCCAGTCTCTTTTAATGTATTTCTAAGAGCACGATGCCATATTTTTTTTCTGTAAGTTCTATGCTATGCAGTAAATCTCTAGTATTTGTCTTGCATAATTGAACTTCTAAGCCTATTGAGCAATTATCCCCATTTACTCTTCCCCTGAAACCCTAGAAATCACCATTCTAACTCTCTATTTCTGTGAATTGGACTGTTTTAAACACCTCATGAAAATGGAATCATGTAGTATCTTTCTGCAAAAACTGGTTTATTTCACTTAGCATAATGTCCTCTAGAACGACAATGACGTATCTATCACCTAATACTTGTTAGGATACTAATATTTAAAAAATAATAATTACTATTATTGGTGAGTATTATATACTGTTGGTGGCAATGTAGAATAGTGTAGCCAGTGTGGAAAACAGTACAGAGGTTCCTTAAAAGTTTTCAAAAATAGCACTATTATATGTTCTAGCAATCTCACTTCTGGGTATTTTTCCAAAAATAGTAAAATTAGGATCTTGAAGAGAAACTGTACCCCCAGGTCCATTGCAGCTTTATTCACATTAACAAAGATATTAAAACACCTCAAATTTCTACTAACAAATAAATAGACAAGCAATACGTAAAATTTGTGAGGACTAAGCATGAAGTGGGGGCAAACACCTGTAATCCTAGCTACTAGGGAGGTTGAGGCAGAAGGACTAAAAATTCAAGGCCAGTCTCTTGGTGAGACCCTGTATTGAGTCGAATGTATGAAAGATGATATGTCTTGAGCTCTGTAATGTTTTGAACAACCAATAAAAATAAATAAATAAATAAAATAAAAAAAAAAAATAAAAAAAAAAAAAGTGTTGGGGATGTAGCTCAGTAATAGAGTGTCCCCAGTACTAGGGGGAAAAAAAAGGTAGGTAAGCAGATCTCATTTTCTCATCTTAAGC